TTATACGATCTGTAGCTGGTTGAGAGAAAGATGTCATTTACTACTTAGCCTAATTCGGCAGCGCAAGTTGCCATTCCCACTCAATTCACCCCGTAGTTACACGAATCTGGGTTGAAATCACAAAAAAAGTGGAAGATGATCCTCAAATGTCAAATGTAATTTCAGATTACCCTTAATGTGGATGAGTGTTTAACTTCGTTTTAAAAGGCGAATAGTTTACGGGATCTAAGAATTGGCCTAAAAGGAAACATTGCAATTGGGATTGCTGACGTATAAGACGTAATTATTGAACTCAAATCCTATTCGAGTAAAAGTATTTGGTGAAAAGATTCGAAGGTCGATCACACCAGAAGACGATGGCGAACTCCTCTTGACCAGCTTTGCTTGAACATTCTTGTTGAGGCAGTTTTTGAAGCCATCCCCCTCGATTTAGGTGCAAACATACTAAGCTTTCGTGAAGACATGAAGACCAAGATGTTGTGGCCTCTGGTATGGTCGCAGTCAATGCTAAGCTCTTGTCCGTCATAAGACAGACATCATGAGGGCAGGATGTTATACTAAAAACCACATTCAAGCTATCAAGTATATAGTTATATATCGCTGCTGCACTCGTACATGTATGTAAAGATGAAGAAACGAATGCACATATATATATTGTATGAGAATTCATGCTCCCCAGCGACCCACTTTTGCAAGAATTAAAAGGTAAAACAATCTTCATCCTTCTTCGTTTACAACTTGGTTTCAAGACTCTCAGCGTTAATCATTATGCCATGAGTGCCCTCGGTTCACAGGGCAAAGGCAAATTTAAAGGAAGGACAGGCCTTTCCCATACCACTTTCTGTGGTGGGATCGTCGATGAAGCAAAGTAGTATTTGATATAGCATTGACTACATAACTCATTTATGAGTAGATTTTCAGGTTTATCTGTAGATCATGAATAGGGACTGAGCTCACCATATTTCATTTAAGGGGATGAAGGACTGGTAGTTGCATTTTTTCACAAACATATTAGTATGCCTCAGGTTTACACTGAAGTTAGCATAGCCTTTCTTCCCACAAGGTATTCTCATCCAGGGTGGACTTCAGTTTTGACCACTCGAGCACCCCTAGCGGGACTCTAGCTCAAGTTGTGGTGGCACAAAGTATAACCTCGACAAGTGGCAATGCCCCAAGTGTCCTTGGGCCATAGGGCAAACGACAATGTTAAGAAAGGCCAGGCTTTATCCTGTTAATGTTTTTTTGATTGCCGCGTCGATTAAGTTGTATTTGTTATTACAATCGAATAAATTATTTATTTTCGTTTATAAGCACCCTCTTATACAGCTTTTAGCATTAAAGCGCGATACCTTCAAGAGTGTTGGCCAGAGTGCCTCATCAGAAGTGCTCTCGAGCACCAAGCCGCTCTCGGGAGTGGGGGGCCGATAGGATCTCGCTGAGCCCGAGCTGTTTCTCGTTACATCGCCAGACGTGGCGGAACTCTTAAAGACGGTAGGACGGATCCGTCTGGAGGGAGATGGCAGCACAGGAAGTCCGGTCTCCAGGACGGCAACAGCAGAGGCGAAGGCGGGCAGATGACGGCGAGATAGATGCGGCAAAGCAACTGAGAGCATCTGATAGAAGCTGACCAACTGATGGTTCAGCTCAACTCTGGACAAAGATGAAGTGATGGAAGGAGCAAGCAAAATAAAAGTTAATAATGAATGAAAAGCATTATAACTACCCATTTATACTAAGTTATTGAAGATGACTTAGGCATTGGTAGATGAGGTTTTGCTACAACCAAATGACTGGTGAAGCGTTAGAAGAATATGTAGGTTCTCGAAGAATCAGTGAATTAGATAGCCTGATACACAATCAGGTGGCCAAAGAGGTAGTCAATCAGTCATCAGACAGTCACTAGTTAGGTTCGTATAGTCACTTGTCTATCATTCATCAGTATGTCAGTCAATCAACTGAAGAAAACACGACCAAGTTGCACGAACTGATTAGAACCAAAACCCGTCTAAGAAAAAAACTTTCTCAAATTGTGAATGAAGAAGAATTTCGTAACTTATGAGAAATAGCTAATAGTTTAGATTAAGCAATCTATAGGATGACTAGG